TACATTTATACATAAAATGTACATATATTATATATACACATGGATACGAATGCTGAGAGGCTAAGTAAAAAATACATTTTATATATACACATGTCTATATATTTTATATACATGCATCAACATATTTGATATATGTACATATCTATATATTATATATCCTATTTATGTCTTATATATGTAAATATCTATATCCTATACGTATATACTTCTATATATAGATATGCATATGTATGTGTATATATGGTATATATATCCTAAGAAGAATGATTTTTTATTTTTAAATTACAGAAATAATATAAGTATCATTTAAAGTCTGAAAAATAAAGTCAAAGCAGTTGCCTATAATCCTCCATCACTAGCACAGTAACCATGCGACTCTCCTCCTGTGCACATTTACATTACATTGTGAATGTAATGGTTATAGAATTTTGTTGTTTTTCCATTTAACATTACATTATAATCATCATCCATGTTGTGTAACGTAAATTCCACTTTTAAAGGCTGCATAATATTTCATTAATATTATGCATGCATCATAATTTCCTTAGTCATTCCCTTCTGGTTGAACATTTAGGTTGTTTCCAATGATTAACAAGGAATGCTCTGAAGAAGAGCTTCATGTGTATTTGGGTTTTTGTCACATTCCCAGAAGTGGGGCAATGGGTTCTCAGAGACTTAATGCTTAAAGGGCATCCACTTAAAAATAAGGATCAACAGCTTCTGATCAGTATTTCTTAAAAATGACCTTTGACAAAAGTAGAGTTTTCTCTAGCCATTACAGAGATGGCTAAGTAAAAACACAAAGCTGTTTTTAGTTATCACATTCTTAGCACTCATCTTGCCAGCTACTATCTGCAGCTACCAAAACTGGGGAAACAGTGCCCTTGGCCCTGACGCCTCTATTGATCTCTACCTATGCTCACATTACTGTATCTCAAATCCCTACGAGCTGCTTGGGATGCTGATCACGGTGAGGGCAGAGAGCAGGCTCAGCATCTTCAGGGTCTTCCCCACCCTTTCATATCTCAGGGTCCAGCCTTCCTGACGAGAAGCCTTGTCTAGATAAGGCAGGGCCCTGGTGCCTAGAAGTTGATCAGCCCAAGTCATCTTAAGCCCTGGAACATGCAATTTAGATGGACACTTCCAGAGGCAGACAGGTCCCTCCCCTACTTTCTGATTTCTCCCTTTTCCCCCAAACTGGAGCAAAACAACATTAAAACAGCCTGGGTTACACTTTACTGAAGAGGCCAGCTTAGGACGACTTGAAGAACTAGGTGACTACAGTCTTAAGACACGCAGGGGCAAGGCTGTAAGATTTTACTCTCAGCCAGTTCGCACTTCTACTGTGAGATCAGGCCTCTACAGACTTTACGGGCATATCAGATCCAAAGAAAATTTCTTGGAAGTGCCAACTCAGAGGGGCTCCTTCCTGGTCACTCCTTACAGTCTCGCTTGGTCCAGGGCAGGGTGGGTTCGGCCTCTCGGTGAGAACAAGAGGAAGAAATTTAGCTCTGCATTATGTATTTAGGTTGAGCGAAACAATTTCGAATGAGCGGCGGTCTCTCCAACAAAGCAATCTAGAATGGGACCCTGAGTTTTAACTTCAGGCCTTAGGAATGCCAAAGCTCGCTCAGCGATTCTGTTTGCAAACCCACCCGCCCCGGGGGCGGATTTTCCCCGAGACACTGTCACCCTTGCCTCCATCTCTGCGCATACCTCCCTGCGGCCCCTCCCCAGTGACCTCCCCTGCCCCTCGCGGACCAGCCCCATCCTCAAGATAGTACAACTTTCCGGGACACCCCACGTCTCCTCTCGCCCCCGTCCGGTTGCTTGGAAATTTGCACGGGACGGTGACGTCACACAGGGGGGCGGGTCCCCACTGTCCCGCACACCAATGGCGCGGCGGCCCCCGGCCTCTTGGTTCCCGGCGATTGGTGTCTCGGGCCGCCGCGCTCCACCCCAGCCCGCCATGGCGTCAGGCGCCGCGGCCCCGGGGAGGTGGCTCCCACTTTAAGAAGTGAAGTTTTGCGCCCCCTCCCCCTCCCTGCCCACCTCCTGCAGCCTCCTGCGCCCCGCGGAGCTGGCGGATGGAGCTGCGCAGCGGGAGCGTGGGCAGCCAGGCGGTGGCGCGGAGGATGGATGGGGACAGCCGAGATGGCGGCGGCGGCAAGGACGCCACCGGGTCGGAGGACTACGAGAACCTGCCGACCAGCGCCTCCGTGTCCACCCACATGACAGCCGGAGCGATGGCCGGGATCCTGGAGCACTCGGTCATGTACCCGGTGGACTCGGTGAAGGTGAGGCGCTGGGGGACTTCGGGGACGCAAAGAGCGGAGGAGGAGCGCGCGCGCGTTTGCATCCCGCGCGCCGACAGCCTGGGGGCAGAGTCCTGAAACCGCGCTCTCCCCAGGACCGCGGCGGGCCGGGGTATCCCCGGGAGCAGCTGTGCGCAGCCTGGGCGCCGCGCCTTCCGCCGACCCAGTGAGGGTGCCCGGTCCTTGCCCCGCACCGCCCGCTGCTCCCGCTGCGTGCCGGGCCCCGGCTGCTGGCGGGGGAGGCGGAGTGGCGAGCACCGCTGGCTTCGGCGACGACGGGGCTCCCGGGGGACGCGATCGCTGCAGCTCTGCACAGTCTTACCACGCTGGCCGTTCGGGCTGGCTGGGGCCGCCCACACGTGCGCGGTTTCCGAGGGAGCTCCCCGCAGGGGAAGCCCTCACCACGCTGGCGCTGAGAAACGTGTGGCCCTCGCCGGGCCGCGCGCCCCAGGACTTGATGTGTGGCTGCTCCTCCCAGGTTATTTCGGGGACTTGGGGCCGGCAAGACTTCTCTCGATTCGTGGCAGCTCTTTACCGGTTCGGCATCGGCCCGTGGGATCCTCTTTCTGAGGGTTCCTGCACTTCTTGCCCCTACTTTGGGTCGCCGAGCCGC